CATTCTCAGATTTAGCTCGAATTCAGTTCTAATTTAAGTTCGATCTCAAACCTGAAACTTAGGTACATGAAAACCTCACACTAAATTTAAAAAAAACGCACAACACATAAATATTAATATTATTAATAATTTAATTTTAAAAAATTAAATTTTTATTTTTTTGAAGTTGTTTACTAACTTTTCGAGTTAGATATCAAATAACTCGCTTCAACTCGTGAAGAACTCGAGTCGAGTTCAAACTCGAATCGTTTACAATTGTGATTATGGGTAATCAAATTATACTCAAATGGTTATTGAATTAATAAATTTCTAAAAAATTATAAAACGATCATTAAATCTATCAAATCGTTATAAAACAATTATTAAATTTGTAACCCCCTCAGACCGATGTGGATAACCCGATCCGATCTGGAGTGTCATATTAGGGTCATCGGAGCGACCCACCGTAAAAATAGCGGAAAATTTAAAACTTTTATTAAACATGTAAACTCATAAAATGATTCATCACTGTTCATAATTAAAACAGGTTTTCAGACTCGTATATAAAACAAAATACAATTACATGCCCCCTAATCACATGTATCATACTCTGCAAACAACGCCGGAAGAACTCCCTTACTGATGTTGATAGTGGTACTGGTACAATTCTTTTAACCTGCAATGGTGAGTAATAGAGTGAGCTTCGAAAAGCTCAGTAATACAGAACTATCAGATGATGCTACATGACATACAGATAAATGGGAAGCCATAATTTCCTTATTGAATCAGACGTATACCAGTGGGCGGAATAATCTGGGGTTCCATTAGAAGTTCATCGAGTAAAAGCCATGAAGATCACCGTTCATAGGAAGCATCCATAGTATCTCATTTTCATGAGTTGAAAAGGATGTCTAGTGTGTTCCAATCAAAACCAGTGAAAATATATAAATCTTTTGAAAACCATAGCGGAACCCTCCAACCAAACTCCATTATGCAGTTCCCCAGAACTACGTCCGTAGGGCTTACCCTAAGCACACATAAAAGGGAGCCAACCTAAGGATATGCCTTGGGGTCCATGGGCCTACCCAAGGGTATCATTAGGTCCGTAAGGTCTTATCAGTTGGATCAGGGATGTGCCTCCATACTCCATAATCCTATCCATATAAAAATCCGGTAGAAATCAGTTTTAGCCATAAAACGTAATGCATGGACCGTTATCCAGTAATATGTCATAATCGTAATAATGAAATAAATCGTATAACTGATTTATGCCTGTACACCATGAGTAGTCCAATTATTAACCTAAGGGAGTGTTTTGGGGCCTGAGAGCCTACTCAAGGATCACCTTAAGTCCGTAAGGATTTACCAGCTTGATCAGAGTTGTACCTCCATACTCCAATCTACCCATATAATATCCCAATAAAACAATACCATTAGTAACCAGTATTAATCATGGTCCATAAAACAATAACCATCATTTTATTCCAGGGAAACAAGAAACATGATAACACATTTCAGGTACCATAATTCATAAACCAATAGTTTCCATGATTCCATAAATTAGGAAAAATTCATATTTTTTGGTGAAAACCATAATTGGAGATCACATACCATGTTGCCATGGTTCATAAACCAGTAAATCAATACTTTCGTTAAAACTTATTTTAAAACATATAAAACCGTCATGTAGTACATATGGAACACACTAGAGAATCCAAGTATTTTTCAGAGGCATTTTGTGAAACTTGTGAAATTTGATCGGATTCCTGGAGCAAGAACTTATTGAAGAGAATCGATTTCTAACCGATCTAATCAGACATTTCAGATTGATACTTTAGAATTCCACTATGTTTTCATGTGCATCAGGGAAACGTTCTGGAACCTTTATTCATAATAATTCTAGAGTCAGATTTACTGAGTGTGATTTCATTACCCAAACAATCAGGGGTATTCAGGAATATACTTTGAATTCATAAGATTTCAGACCAATTGAACCAAATAGGGTATTCAAAATCATTTCCATCAACGTTACTTACGTGTTCAAACCTGACTGAAGTGATTTGAGGTGAAGATATAAAAATGAAGATTCAAGATATTTACAATTTATGTCGATCGATCGGATTATCAAACAACTCGAGTTATACAATTCCCAGACTAATGCATATCGACAAGACCATTCAATGCCCTTCCAGTGTATTCACTCTTTAACACTAACAATTCTTGTTCATTGATCACCTTCTGAATCACCACTGAATAGATCTTAAGGAGACGAACAAATATTCTAAATGTCTTTATTTCATTTTCATGTTTAAACTATATCAGGAAATGTCAACGTAATTGATTTGTGGTTCAAACCCATAGGAATTATACACTATGTAACTTATCAGATTTCCCAGACTTATCCAAATCACTTACTTATTCCTCAGTCATTAAGGTTCCTTAGTTTATTTAGCAATCATGTCTACCACGGTTACTTCAGAGTTTTCCAGAGTAATTCAGACGTTTATGAATTTCAAATACATATTGCATTTCATTTTAGTACAATTTATTCATATACTAGAGTCATTATGGTATCTGTGGTTGATTTATCTTACGGATACCCATTTCTTACTATCGAATGTGCTCTAGCGTTAAGTTGAGCTGAGTACTTCCAAAATTATCATCAATTCAAACTTGAGGAAACGAACAAGCATTCAAGTGGTTCATATGCCATTCAAGTATTGATACAACACTAGTATTAGTTGACCGAATTAAGTTGTGTTCCATAACCTTTAAGAGCAGTACAACATCCATGTTTATTTGAATTTCTTAAATAATCCAAGACATTTACTTAGTCTAGGACATAAGGGTATTTTGGTTATTTTAGTGCTCAATGTTTTTCTATTCATTTCAAAGTTTGAGTATATCCATTCATTCCTCAGCTTGGTGACATTCTTGAGTCATTTCCTTTCCAGGGGTATTTTGGTCATTTTACATATCCAATGTATTTCAATCATTTTCTTCCGTCCGATCTTATTATTTAATTTAATCTTATCACTTACTTCAGTCATTTCAAACAATTCTGACCAAAGAGCACCTTCAATAAATCATTCTTCAGATATTTACTCAATTTGGTAATTTCCAGGCAAAATGTCTTTTCAAATGTTACTAACGAATTTTCAGAAAATTTTCATACAAAGGTAGGATCTCAACAATCAAATCAGTAATTTATCGGTTTAAAAACAAATTCTCAGGTTACTCTCTCATTCAGAGTCAACTTGGACTATTTTCACTTCTCAAGGACATTTTCGTAATTTCGTACCTAGATACTTTTGGTATTAACTCTTAACGAAAATAAATATAGTTTAGAGATCATATGCTTAATTGCTTACCTGAACATTCTCAGATCTTGAAATAATTTCTTAACAAACTTCTAATATCTTGCATAAACCCTCTTGAGGTTAAAAATTGATTATCCAAATTTTCCAATATAACTAGCATTTCTTATACACATTTGTAGTTTTATCATATCAATATGTCTTATCAGAATTATTAATCAACTTCCAGGGATAATTCTTGTTATTCTACAACATAGGGGTATTTTCGTAATTTTACCCTACATGAGTATTCTCATAATTTCCAACCCAAGTACCTTTGATGAAATAAATTATAATTTACATAACCAGACTGATTCATTTATCACTTAATCACAAAGTTTGTAATTCAGTAGAGTCTGAACTAATTTATCACTTAAACCGTATTCGAATCTATCCATAATCAAACAGTCATAATAGACCAATCATATATATGTCCATGCATTTATCCATTATCAACATGTTCCATAAAGCATAAAGAGGTAGTAAAGTATTACCTCGATTTTCGTGTCATACTGATCGACCATAAAATTCCATTCAAACGTCCTCGATCTTTAATTTAACTTCCAATAATTCCTCAAAAACATAACAATAAACATTTCATCAAAAGCAGGGCTTATTTCTGAAAAACGGATCGAATCGGGTGATTAATCAGTGAAAACCAACTTACCGGGTTCGAATTTGGCGAAACGGACCCCAAAAACAAATTCAGGTCATCAAAAAATATCAGAATAGGTATACCCGGTCAAAGTCAAAGGTCGTTTAACGCCCGGTCAATGCCGGTCAAAATTTTGGTCAACAGTCGTCAACGACGGTCAACAGTAGACTGTTTTACACAAATATCATCCTAACCGAAATTAATTACAAAATTAGCCACCTTATACAAATATTTACAAAACTAACACCCGCATTTTTACACAAATAGTACCCAAACAGAAATTAATTACAAAACTAACACCCTGCGGCCAGACGATGCCCACTCTCGGGTGGTGGCATGTGAACAGTGATATGGTGTCAAAAAATTCCCGGAAAAATTCTTAAAAATTATTTTAAGTGATGTTAAGGCACTTACAAAGCTCGGTTCACAATTTTGAACGGTGGAGAGCTCGATTTCAATAAATCCAAAACTTTGACCGCAACACCATAACACCGGAAGACTCGGAACGGCACAAGGAACACGATGGTGCATGAGGTGTCGAAACGGATGGTCGGATCGTCGTGAATCGACGAAAAACCAACTGAAATCGAGTTAAAACCGACGATACTTCCGACTGAAATTAACGAAAAACGATGATGATTCACGACAAAAGGTTTGAGGGATTTTGTTCATCGGTTAACAACGAACACGATAATGGTTTCGGTTCGTCGATCGAACATCGGATGGTGAGTAGATCGGAGTTCAAGGGGGATTTGATGGGAAGAGAAAAACTGAAAAATGCAATCCGCAACACTAGAGAGAGTTTATAATTCTCTCTTAAAGAAAAATGGTTAAACTATGAGTTTAGCCTGTAAACTTTCTGAACTTCTTAAAATGGTCTATTAACTTTACAAATTTTCAATTTAATCCTCAATTTTCTTCCAAAATACCAATTAAATCCAATACTTTATAATTTCTAAAATTTAGCCCTTAATTTGGGGTGTTACAAAATTTATATAACTGTTATAATCATAGATCAAATTTCATCAAACTATTACAAAATATCACAATTATTATAACGTCACAATAATCATTTCGTAGTAGTTTAATAGATATAATGACTATTTTATAACTTTTGAAAGTTCAACGACCTCCATGGAAATAAACCCGAAAAGAAGCCCAGAAACAGGTTGAATTCGTAGATTATCCTTTCGTCAACGCGATTTCTCAGGAGCGGAGCAAGAACCAAGCAGACAGAAGTGACTGTGAGATTCGCCATAGCCAGTGGTCCTGTAATGGCCCTGTGAAGCCTCAGCTTGAGCTTCTTCTTCAATATAATCTCCATGTCCACGAAAATCCCATGCAGGACGAAGAACAAGGTTATCTCCCACGTGGGGTTTTTCCGTAATATGCTGTAATACAGCAGTTCGTGTATCAGACCGGAGACGACAAACGTTACGAAAACCGGCGGCAACGAACTCCATCGGGCTCCGATTAAGCGTATCGAAACGCTTTTTATCGGGTCGTAAACGACGAGACGGAGCGTTTCGGATACCCTGAGGTTCCACCTTCGGCCCCAGAAGTCTTGCAACGATGAGGCCAAGAGAGGTGAGTTGAAGTGTGGCTCGAGTTCAACCCTAAGGATGACCTGTAAGAGGGAGGAACATTTTATTTTATAAAATTTTAAATTTTAAGGAGATAAAAATATATTATTAATAAAAAATATGAAAAAAATATATGAAAATTTAAAACTTTAGAATAAGTACCCCGTTAGTCTCTTCGGTTTATCACTAATCATATGAGCTGAGGTTGGTATAAGTTGAGTTGGATCGGATTTATGGTCAATCCGACCTGTTTAAAATATACTATCCACTCAAAAATATAAACATATATATTTCTGGGTAAACTATGCATTTAATACATAAATGATCATTTTTGATCTGTTTTAATACCTAAGTTTAATTTTTTTTCAAAATCATACATAAAGTTTTGTTTTGTTTCATTTTAGTACTCTACCGTTAAAAAATTTAGTTTTTGTTTCATTTTAGTACCCATTAGTATTTGTTTCATTTGAGTACCCCTGTTAGTTTTTGTTTCATTTCAGTACTATGTTCAAAATTTAACGTTAAGTTTTGAAAAAATTGAAAGTTTAGATCCTAAAACGGACCACAACAAATAATTTAGGTACTAAACACGTTAAGTTTTTAATGGAAGGGTATTAAAATAAAATGAAAACTAAACGTTAGGTATGGTATGCAAAAAAAATGAAAGTTTAAGTACTAAAACAAACCAGGACTGATAACTTAGATACTAAATGCGTAGTTTACCCTATTTTTTAAAATTTCATTCGATAAAATAGAGATATAATTAAAAAAATAGAGATGAGTATTATTGTAATTGTATCTAAATATAAAAGGTATAATTACGTTATTTTTAAGATCGGGCTGGATCAAATATTTTTTTTACCACAAACCCGAATTTAACCAAACTTACACTCTAAAAACTCGACTCGACTCAAACTCAAAATATTTTTTTAAAAATGACCCAATAGAACCAAATCAGGTTAAAGTCCGTCGAGTTCAAGTCTCGTACCCATCCCTACCTGAGCTGGGATTACAACCATGGTTAAAAGAACGTCTACCGCAAGCCAAACTTGGAACCCGAAGATGAGTAACCAAACAAGTCTGTGGAAACACTCTTTGTAGCTATAAGAAACCAAGGTGAAAACTATCCACAATGAACCTTTACTTGCAGCCTCTAGGATCAAATCCAAGGGCACTTTGGAGTGATGGGGTTGTTTGATTTTGAACGGAGAACAAGCTGTGAGGATGAAAACATCGAGATCCGCTGCCTTGGGCGGCGACAAGGGACCTCGATCGAAGGCGAGTGAGAGGAGGTTGAAGTTGGTGTGGCAAGAGAGGCAAAGCACTAGAGGGTGACAGAGATAGATCGAGTGGAGCTTGAAGGGGAAGATGAATAGTAGGACCATGACCGGGAGGAGGGCAAGGAGCCTAGGCAAGCCCTTTGGGATCTTTGCTGCAATGTGGTAACAGTAGGACAAGGATACATATGTGAATAGCCCTACTGTAATCAAGGTTTTTAGCTCACTCTCTACTTCCATAGCTTTCTTTCTTTTCACTAATCTTTGATATAATCTTCTGTTGAGCCTTTAGGCTTCATCTCATATATATAATTCGGGTCCAGGGATGAGTACAGAACTCGAATTCGACGGATTTTGATAGGATATATATATAAATTAGGGTTTAAACCGAATTGAGTTAAGTTGAGTTTTTCTAGAAGATAAGGTAGGGTCGAGTGTGGATTTAGGGGGATTTTTTTTATCTAACATGACTTGAAATAATGTGTAATTATCTTTACATATTTAGAGATAATTATAATAACACCCATCTTTAGATATTTTTTTTCCAATTAAGTCCCTATTTATCAAATAAAAATGAGAATGATATATTTTGTATCGGGATGATGGGGTCAAGGGCGAGGTTTTATCTAAAATTGGGTTGAATTTCGGGTCAATAAAATCTCTCAAAACTCGAATTGGGTCGAATAACGAGTGGAGAGTATAAAATTTAGGTCGAATTCGAGTATGACAAAAACTCAATCTGACCCATTCCATGCTTATCTCTATATAGGACACTAATTAAATGCTGTCCCCAAAATTATGAGATGTTAATTTAGAGGTGGGTTAGTATTTAATGCACTACTAGTGGAATTTTCTTAATTCCAAAAATAATATTTAAATTATTTTTTATTTTATTATATAAAATAAATTAAAATCCCATACAGGACTCAACTTTAGCATATGTTAAAAGTATCCCAGTTGTTAATATTTTAGGCTCAATGCATCATTTGTCCCTTAATTTTGTTTGTTTTCCCACTTCGGTAATTTAGTTTTTTAATGGATTAATACTAAAATAAATGTCCAAACTATATCGCTTTTCCCGAATAGGTGCCTAAACTATTTTTTTAATTTATCCAGGTGTCTAACGTTACAAACATTAATTTTCCTATTAAATGACACATGTAATAATATGATAATTTTTTAAATAAAAAATGTTTTTGAAAAAGCCCCAATTTCCCCCCTAAAATATCAAGAAAAATCTCAAACTCTTAATTTTTTTTAATTCTAATCCCATTTACTCCAACCGTCGATCATCTCCAGCCAGTTATTCGCTGGCGATCGACCACCCAATGACCGGTCACAACTCTTACTATCACCTAAAAACCCAAAATTCTCAAATCCCTAAAATCTTAAATACTCAATCCTTCAAATTCAATCGTGATAATCGATCGTTTCGTAGACCGTAATAGCTAACCATTTGGTCGATCGTTTGACCTTTGGTCGTTTGGCTATGGAAGGAGGGAGAATGGGACGGGAGCATGGGTTGCAAGGTACGTGGGGAAGACAAGTTTTTGGATTATTTTTTTAATAATATTTTTATTTTTTAAAAAAAATTAAAATTTTAAGATTGTGACACGTATTACTTAATGGAGTTTTATAACGGCCGTTATGACCAGACACCTAAATGGGTAACGTTTGTCACATTAGGTACATATATGAGTCAAAAAATAATTTATGCACATATTCGGGAAAAACGAATTTTTTTAAAAAAAAATTAGGTCAATCATAATGTGACACATCAATTTCCCGTAACCGTTAAAAAAATAATCAATCAAATCATATCACGTCATCAGATTAATTTGACATCAAATTAGTAGTGATAATCTACCTTCTCATTAAAAACTAGAAAATTTTGCTATGGTCAATTAATATTGACATGACATTATCTTTTTGACTAACAATATTTTAACTACTAATTTATACTTTAGAAAACACTTAAAAATGTTAGGGCTTTATTAAAAAATTAGGTATAAAGTTAGATTTAAATGGGTGAGAACTTATTAATCACGTTTGTGAACAGTCCATTTTTTTAATGGCTGTTAGACTTTTTGGTATAAAATGGTATCTTTTGTAAAAATTAAAAAAAGGGCATTATGGATCTAAGAAAATGTTTAAGGACTGAATTGGGAAAACAATAAAATGATAGGGGGCGGATGGCGTTTTAAGCCTTTCTTTTATTACACGTAGACAACTATGCGGGAAATAGGGTCTGTACCCCAAAATGGGACATTTCCAATTTGAGTCCCTTCAAATTTTTAAGTTTTTAGTTAACACAAAGGTGAAATTGTATTTTAGCTCACCTTATGATAAAATTTGGCCACTAAAATTTTTAAAACTTAGGTAACGTCAAATGTCAATAATAAATTTTATATCTAATTTAATCCTTAGATTGTTTTTATATTTGACGGAGTTTAATCGTGTTTTTGTAGTCTATTAACGAAATGTTAAATTAATTATTTAATGTAACAAAATAGGACTACGTTTTGACCACTATTTATGCAGTTCTGTTTTAATCATCTAATTATTCTTTTAATTGCGTTATCCTATAGCTTACACTTAACTTAAAACCCTAAACCCTAAAATTCAAACTTTAAATCCTTACTTAAAACCCCAAACAATAGAAAACATTTTAAACATCGATGCGTTAAACAACTTCAATGGCTAAATTGATGCGAAAACATTATAAGAATAAAAATGATAAATTGAGTCTAATACATAGACAAAAATGCTCCTTATGGTGATGTATCACCATAAGGTAATACCACGTCATCAATAAAAAAAATAAAAAATATTATCTCTATTTATGTTTTAACGATGGGTGATCAAAACAGAATAAAAATATAATATTAGTATGAATTTAAAAAAGTAATTAGGCCAAAATGAAACTCCAAAAATGTTAAGGATGCATTTGTTTCTTCTCACAGCAAATGTTTAGATGAGTGCTCACATCGCATTGAAGAGTTAAACAGTCTGATAATTTATTGTGCAATGGGGACGAGTAACAGCTATTAATGGCTCAGCCAAGGAGCCATCAAGTTGGGCGGCGGTTGAGCCATTTCCGCCACCCAGGGCCACCGTTTTTGGTGCCCCCACCAAGTTTCTCTTCTCCATCATTTTCCATCACTTTCAGCTTTTAATGGCAGTACTCACTTTGCATCACTCTCACATATTTTAAAAACAATATAAAATGGGGATTCAAATTATGGTTACGATCACATTTTTTGTTGTGTTATATTTATCGCGATTGTGGACATATCAAATGTTATTGCGGGTATCGTAATCTACGATAACAATTTCGGACTACATCCGTATCATTATGTAACGATTACTATTATGATAACTACCAACTATTTAAATTCATGTATAGAACAATTAAACCGAAATAATCTCAAAATTCAAAACAAACTGAAAAGATCTAAATTTTAAATAAAATATCAATTCAATCCTAAACTTTTTTTTTTGTATCAATAAGATGATAATATTATTATAAATGTTTATTTATATTAAAGAAAGTGACATGCAACCTGCTGAATCTGACCCTTGTTAGGAGATCAAACTATTTTCTAACGACAGTGATCAAGTTGATATTACCTTATAAGTTGAGTGATCATTAGGTAATTTACCCTTCTTTTTATTACCATGATAATATTGACTGAAATTAACCGTAAGAATAACTTAAATTCGATAATAATTTATGCTTTTGCTGTAAAAACTTTCATTTTAGATACCAAAACAATAGACAAAATGAAAATCTTAATTTTATATTAATTTAAAATAAAATAAATTTGATAATAATTTATGCTTTTGCTGTAAAAAATAATTAAATTAACTGAAATACAATTGACCGGTGAAAAACCAAAACTCATTGGTTCCAAGCGTGTGAGAAAGTTGGTACCATTTCCTCAACCTGTCGTCTATGTTACTCTGACTCTTTCGTAACGTTAGGCACCTATATTTCGACACGAGTACGAAATTATATCATTCCCCGAATCAAACAAACTCGTTTTCCGATACTTACCGCCATGTCCGAGTAACATACCATACCACTCTTTTACTTCCTACATGGTCTGGCCAATCTCGACGAGGGCATCTCCATTCTCAAACTGTGGTGATGAGGCGGTGATGTCCGAGGCGGCATCATCAATGATTAAGCTTGGGATTTCAGCACACGGCAAGGAATTTTCAATGTTTAAGCTTGGGACTTCATCAGCACCCGGCGAGGAACTTTCAATGTTTAAGCTTGGGATTTCATCACACGGCAAGGGACTTTCGATGTTGAAGCTTGGGATTTCAGCACACAGCGAGGAACTTTCGTCTTCACCAATTGTGGATACTGGCGGAGATGTATCCGATGTATAAGCACTACTGTAGCCATTACCAGCCTCAGACTCAGTCTCATCCGGTGCGTTTTGAAGGCACCAGCACATAATGCTGGCAGTTAAAGTGAGCATCATCTTCTGGTTTACCTGCCACATCCCATAAGAACATCTCACATTTTCAATTTACTCCAGAAAATTTGATTATTTCCTATTTATGATCATCTGCAGATATTCAAATACGAGATTCACAATGGGTGTTACCTCCATGATGTCCTCAGGCAACAAGAAGATGGAGCATCCGATTTTACGAGCCACACTTATGATATATGTTGCATTCAACCTCTTCTCTTCGTCTACAATTCCAAAAAGGGCAAAAACTGTTAAGATTGGCTCGATCTCAACATTTTCTCCGACAAAAATAAGAGAACACGTTTGATTAATTCCAAGTATAAATAGTGCCATCAATAATCCAATCGAAAAATTAATTCGAGTTAGCAAGTAGTCATACCACTTTCACCCTTGGTTACAAGGTTCCAGTTGACAACTCTTGGCTCCACGGAACTTAAAAGTTCAAGGAAGAACAGTCCAGACGAGAGGCTCTTATCCTGCAGATTTAGAACAAGATATAATTTAAATCATTCAATCGATGTTATTATTATTATAAGACAAAATGGCAGTTGTGAAACCTTGAAGCTTTCTATTTGACGGGATCGTCCGGTGCTTTTAACTTTCCTGTTTGCCCAAGTCATGATATATGAATCAGTTATCTCTTTCCCTCGGGAGCGAGCTCTCAAGCTCCTCAAAACTTGAAGCATGTTGTACCTCATCAGTTGCCACAGGAAAGCTGTAACACAATGTAATCCACTTTCAACAACAAAAAGTACTGTAACGAAAGCTCAAATGACGGAATGCATAGGAGATCAACAACGGTCGGAATTTCTTTTCAATTTACAT